CCTGCTCCTCCGTCACCTCCCTTTAAAACGGGGCTCCTTCACTGTCTGATGTCACTTATATGTGGAACCTAAAAAGTACAGCAAACTAGTGAATATAATAAAGAAGAAGCAGACTCACAGACACAGAGAGCAAACTAGTGGCTCCCAGTGGGGAGAGGGAAGGCGGGAGGGGACTGAGAGGACCAAACGCCTGGCTATAAAGCAAGCTACCAGGATGTATTGCACAGCACGGGGAGCGCAGCCCGTGTTTCACAATAACTGTAAGTGGAGCAGAACCTGTAGATTGTGAACCACTGTACTGACCACCCATGACCTATGTAATGCTGTACATCAACTATACTTGGATTAAATAAATAAAAGAAAAAGAAAAAGGGGCTATTTTATGGCAGGTATTTTCTTAACTTTTGTGTAAGACTGGAAAAATATTTCCTAAGGGAGCAATATCCATTTTTATTTATTAAAGCAACTCAAGCACCAAGAAAAATGTACAAACACTTCATTTTGGAAAATCTTTAGTGCTTTGAGCCTTCTCTTCATTTTGACATTTCTGTCTTCTCAGGTTCTTTGCTGGTCTATGTTGATCACCTTCTGGGAGAAGGGGCCTTCGCCCAAGTCTATGAAGTTACCCACGGGGATGTGAACGACAGCAAAAATAAACAGAAATTCATTTTGAAGGTAGATGATCTGTACAATATAGAAATGAATTTTAGAACTTGAGTTTGCCAGCCTTTTTTTTTAAGATGATGGTTTCATTTAGGTCTAATGTCAGCACTTAAACAAAGCTATCCCACAAGGAGGATTCAGAAGCGCCTCGCCGCTGAAGTCGCCCTGCAGCAAGTCCCGCACTGCGGCGGCCGTTCCTAGCTTGTCAGCACCTCCCACCCCACGTCCTTGATTGGACTGAAGTTGCTTTCTTGCCGTCGTTTTCCAGAATGTGAGCTGGGTATGAATGTCACATGCCTGATTTGCAGGTCCAGAAGCCCGCCAGCCCCTGGGAGTTCTACGTGGGGACCCAGCTGATGGAGAGACTGAAGCCAAGTGCGCGGCACATGTTCATCAAATTCTACTCTGCCCACCTGTTCCAGAACGGCAGCGTGTTGGTCGGCGAGCTCTACAGCTACGGGACGCTCTTAGTAAGTGTGTTCACTTTGAGGACGTGAATCTGAAGCACATTTTTGGCTTGTGCCTTGATATACCTTTTTCTAATTGGAGCTTTTATTGGAGTAGGGGGGTGGGCAAAGCGCTTGACTTAAACTTCCGTTAATCCTGTGCCGCCTCAGGACTCCACTTTCCGTTGTTTCTAGAACACCGTCAACCTCTATAAAAATACCCCCGAGAAGGCGATGCCACAAGCCCTAGTCCTCTCTTTCGCTATCAGAATGCTGTCCATGATCGAACAGCTCCACGGCTGCGAGATCATCCACGGAGACATCAAGCCAGACAACTTCATTCTCGGAAACAGGCAAGTGGTGCGTTTGCAACGGGTTCCCTTACCGTTTCTGCGGCCGTCTCTCACTGTCCGTGCTCACGCAGCCTGGCCCTTGTTTGTGTTTGATGTAGATTTTTGGAACAAGACGGTGAAGATGATGATTTATCTGCTGGCTTGGCACTGATTGACCTGGGTCAGAGCATAGACATGAAGCTCTTTCCAAAAGGAACTGCATTTACGGGAAAGTGTGAAACATCTGGGTTTCAGTGTATTGAGATGATCTGTGACAAGCCCTGGAACTACCAGGTAGAGACTAAAGTGAGAGACCTGAAAACGTTTCGCTCACTATATTTTCAGAATGATTTTGGGCGCCTAGTTAGTTTGAGCTGGCCTAGTCTTCTTCTGTCCTTGGATTTAGACCAAGCTCCAGAGTTGTCAGTTACAAACACGTCACACCACAGGAGGGTTGAGGTGCAGTGAGAGAACGCAGCCCGCCCCGGGGAAGGAGCTGGGAGGACTTCCTGGCGGATTAACGTTGTGTTTGCCTCCGTGTGACAACCTGAAGGACACAGTAGCTCAAGAAAAACAGAGCTTCCCAAGACGCTGCCTCAGGAGGCGGTGGGTGATCTGCTGTCCGTGGAAGCCTCCAGCAAAGCCTAGAAGCATTCATGGGGCATGGCAGTGAGAGGGCTGGCACACAGCCTCTACAGCTCTTTAGGAATGAAATCCTCTGCTTATTTATTTGCTGTGATTTCTTATATTCGCTGCACAAGTTAGACATCGTAATACACTCATGTAAATTACTATCTTAGTCACCAACACCCGTATTTTCTTTATAGATTGATTACTTTGGAGTTGCCGCAACAGTGTACTGCATGCTTTTTGGCACTTACATGAAAGTGAGACATGAAGGGGGCGTCTGGAGGCCTGAAGGTCTTTTTAGAAGGTGGGTATTAGCATCAGCGCTACAGTGAAAAGAATAAATACAGTAGAATGTTGGGCTGCACCTGGTGGAAGATGGCTCTTTGCCCCCGCATGGAAACTCAGGCCCTGGGACGTGTGATAAAATAGCAGAGTCCTGGGCCCCGGGTGTAGCGAGCGAGCTAAGTACCTCTGTGTCTCCATCTGTAACTTGTGTGGAACGAGGTGTGTGTAGATATTTAACTGGATCTTTAATTTCTCTTATTTATAATAGAGTCAACATTTCCATTCTTAATGCATTAAGTTGTGTTTAGGTACAATGAAGTCAGAGGCTTAAGAGTGGGGTCCCCTGCATGCTGAAGGCTGCATTTCATCCTTCCTTTCTGCTTTGTCCCTCCAGGCTTCCTCATTTGGATATGTGGAGTGAATTTTTCCACATAATGTTGAATATACCAGACTGTCATCATTTTCCATCTTTGGATTTATTAAGGCAAAAGCTGAAGAAAGTACTTCAAGAACACTATGCAAACAAGATTAAGACCCTACGTAACAGGCTAATTGTGCTGCTCTTAGAATACAAGCGTTCGCGAAAATAAAATGTGGACCGTCCCTGAAAGTCACTTTGCAGACGCTGCCTACCAGCTCTGAGCCCTGGTGTTTCCACACTTACTGTTCATGTAAATGTTTCTTAAAAATTAAGTCCACAAAGTATATCCATGTGACATAGTTGTTACAAATATTTCAATAAAATACGCAACGCGTTAAGTCCCTGTGTATCTGGCTGACTGACTGGGCCACTCTTGGGATACAGGCCTTCGTGAGAGTAATCTGGACGTGGACGTTCTCTAACATCACTGACCTGTTTGTTCACTCTAAGCCGAAAAAGAAAAAAGCCAAGGCAGTTTATTTTCCCCAAATTGGAGAGTTTATATTTGTATAAAATACACAAAAATTCCCCAGATACATCCAGCAGACTTTAAGTTTTTATGAATAAAATTTGCCTGTCCTTTATGGTACCTCTTCTTCATTGCTATCCACAGGAAGTATTGCAGGTATAAATCTTAATTAAGCTTCTTCGTTTTTTCAAAGTACACTCAAAAGGAAAGCTCAGATCTTGAAAATAGTTATGTAAGCCCTGTAAACCATTAATTGGCTCTAAAATTAAAGAAGCCAACTTAGCGTTTACTGACTTTTAAGGCTAGAAGGGCCTATAACCTGAGCTGACCTTCCCCCCGCAACCCCCTTCCTTAGCACTATGATGGAAACAAAGGTGGCGGGACACCCACTCCAAGAAGACACAGTGATCGCCGCCACCCTCATTCCCAGCCACCGGAGTCCCCGTTCCAGAGGCAACCTAGGCCTACTTCTGTGTATCTTTCCAAAAATCATTCCATGCATATATCTATATAATGTCTTGACACAACTAGCACAATTCTGCCTTTTTTCACTTACTGTACAGTGGAGAGTGTAAGCACATGTAGAATGGTCTCGTTCTTCTTAATGGCTGCGTGATATTTGGTTATGTGGTAGAAAGTCATAGTCTGTCATGTAAAATCCTAGAGGTGAAATTGCTGGGTCAAAGGTGACTGCATGTAAAATTTTGTATCGACAGTGCAAGCAGCCCCAGGAGGGCTGTGCCCGCAGGTGTTGAAGTCTGTTCCACCCACATCTGCTCACAGGACAGGTCAGGCTCTTTGACCCTTGCCTCTTCAACAGGTGACAAAGAGGTGTTTCCTTATGGTCTTCACTTGCATTCATTAGGTCAAATATATTTGTATATTCAAAAGCTATGTTTTTTCTTTTTCTGTGAACGCTCTTCTTTGTCCATTTTTACTTGGATTGTTCTTTTTCAGTTTAACTTGTAGGACCCCTTTGTATTTGTGGCACAAATTGTCCCAATTTGTCATCTATCTCTTGACTTTTAAGATTAATGTTGCCAGGAAGATTTTTTTAATTTTCTTTTGTACTCTGATTTATGAAATTTTTAAGACTTTTTTTACTTTTGTGTCTCAAAATGCTATCTTCAGTTGAGAAATAAGAAAAATGTCTTCTAATGTTTTTATATTAGTACTGATTTAAATACTTAGGACTAAACTTTTGGCTGTTATTTTAAATCAGATGTCAGTTTTTCATTTTTTTTTCTAGCTGGTACTTTGAATATATGATGCCTATTAATTTCTGTAAAAAGCTTTTCAGTTGATTCCGTAGAAGTTTCCAAGTAAATAACCATCACTATGAAAATGCTGCTTGTATTATGTCTTTGCCAATTTTTTGCGCCTGATTTTTCTCTTGCCGCTGCCCAGGACCATGAGAGGCGGACCGTCAGGGGCGATGCTGCACATCTCATCTCCTGCTCTAGGCGGCGCTCTTCCCACGTTTATCCACTAACCGATGAGGCTGGCCTGAGGTAGGCTTTTTCAATCACTTTGAAGAAGTATCCATCCATTTCTTTCTACAAACGTAAACTATAACACTACTTGAGTGTTTTTGCCCCATGTTCCATCTGTGTTGGTCCAGCTATGTGCCACTCCCCTGTATGAATGTACCATAACTCATTTAACCATTCCTCTATTTAGAAACAATTAGTTTCACAACTTTATTGCTACCAAAAAATGAGTGCAGATACAAATCTGTCTGCAGGATAAATTAATAGAATGAGATTCCAAGTAGGTTTTTATTTTGAAAGTAAAGAATGTATAACCTATACAATTGATTACACACACAAATTAGAAGGCAGTTGAAAATGATCTGGAAACAGACCTCATCCAACAAACCAACATTAAATTTACTCTTAATTAAAATGTCAAAACAGCTGAGCACTGATAAAGCCAGATTTGTGGGATTTTTTTTTTTCCCTCTTGAAAATGTCTGTTTTCAAAGGAAACTAGACTAAAGAAGGTAAGGGTGCTGTCTTGCTAAACGAAGAGCTAAAAGTGTGTCCATGAAAGGCGGCCGTGGGTGCCTTTGCTCTTGAGCAGGGAGACTCCTGGCTTTGTTTCCAGCCCTGTTGACATGTCCCTGTTCCTGAATCTTCAGCTCATATCACAGCCGAGACCCTCCGCCATCCACACCAGCAAGCTAAGTCTGCCCACCTGGTGCCCAGGCTATGCCAAGGGCTCCCGTGACATCAAATTAATCTGATTTCCTGGCTTCAGCCTTGTCCCCAGAGAGGAAGGCTCAGTCCAAACAAGTCACTTTAAGCACTTCAAGCAAGTAGGTTGGTTTGGGCGTTTTTTTTTGTCTGTTGCACAACAATGTGGATCTACTTAAAACTACACTTAGAAATGGTTATAATGGTACATTTTATGTTGTGTATTTTACCACAATTTAAAATGTTTTAAATAAATAAAATAAATCCCTTTAATTTTCCGGAAGAAGTAAGTCACTGTGCTGAGAGGTCTCCAGCTGGGGAAGGTGACCTCAGAGAGCAACTTACTCAACATCTTGCTATAATTGTAATTTAATTAAACTTTGAAAGCCTCCTCTGAAAAAAAAGCAACTGTGACAGAATTTTATCTTTACATTCATATTTTTCTTCATTTTGAATGAACACTGCATCTAAAAGCTACTGTAATGGATGGAACATATTCCTTCAGTATATTTAAGTATTCAAAATTCACTCATGTAAGACTAGTGCAGTCTTCATTTAATAAAATAGCAAAATACCATATAAAAATAAAGTTTTTATATCCCATTGAGAGGACGTCCCCAAGTACATACATGTGTGTAAGTAAGCCCCGCAGTCTCCACACAGATTTTCCTCTCCTTCTACTATCAGCCCTAGAAATGACCCCAGGGGGACACAGGGGGCCGGCCGCTCAGGACAGGGGAGGCCAATTCACAGGTTTATCAGAACACAGAAGGGAGCCTGGGCTGGAAGAGTGATCTCTTGGCAGCGGATGCAAACAGCAGTGACAGCTTGTCTTGGCTTCCAGCTGCGGACACGTGGGGCCTGGCAGGCCCCGGATCAGGCACTGTTTTCAAAATTGGGATTCTTGGGGTATATGTCAGCAGGAGAGAAGTTCAGAATCTCCTCCAAGGAAGGGCCTTCTTCCTCTGGAGCAGTTTCAGACTCAAACATCTGCTGCAGCAAGGCGTCCACAGTCCTGTACTCTGGGAGGAAGGAGAAAGAGCCACGTGGGACCTGCATGTTGCGGTCAGAGGGGCGCATCCAGCCCCGCAGAGCTAGGCTTCCCTGAAGGAAGGCCTCTGAGCTCCCCAGCCACGGCAGGCTCTGGAGACCAAGGAGAAGGTTCTCCTGGAAGGATGGAGGAGGGTGGCCACCTCTGGGGCAGCGCGCTCACACCCCTCCCCCTGCGAACTCTGCTCCAAGGTCTAAGTGTGTGGTAGGGCGGCCCCGCCAGAGCTCAAACTGAGACTCAGATGGGTTTGGGTTTCCTCAATCGTTAATTCACTGAGAATTAATAAAGTGACCAAACACTGAGTTGTTAAGGGACCCCATGTCCCAGGCACATTGTGAGGCCTTGGGGATACAATGGAGAGAAAAAAGAGACACAGCCCTGCACATGTGGAGCTTTAAGTCTGCAGGGAAGACAGATGGCGACCAGTCACCTAAGGATGAATGTGCAGGTGACGTGCAAAAGGAGGAGAGCTAGGGGGCTGCACAGGAGCACCTGGGGGCTTCCCTGAGGAAGTGCTGCTTAAGCAGAGGCCTGCAGGAGAAGGGGCCTTAATTATGCAGGTGAGGTGAGACCACAGGAAGCCTGTGCAAAGGCTCTGTGACAGGATGGAGCAGGGGAGCCAAGGATGTAAAGGCCAGCAGGGCTGAAGGGCAGAGGCAGGGAGGGTCCTGGGGGCAGGGAGAGAGGCTGAGATATTGAGGGGAACCAAGCATGTGGGCCCCAGAGGCCACAGCAGGGGCCCTTGTCTTTACCTTTGAGCCACTGAAAGCCCCTGAAGGTCAGATTTGCATTATGGAAACATCTCACTGGCTGCTGTGAGTGAGGAAGATGGATTGGAGGAAGTTCCGCATTGGCTTAAGACTTACTTTTAGATGCAATTCTGAAGTACAGTCCTTTCAAGTCCTTCTTTTTGTTATCCTCACTGAAGCCACTGTCCTTGGCATCCATGTTCTCAACGAGACTCCCGTCCTGCACTTTTTCCCTTTGGGGAGGAAGAGACGGCATGAACACGGCCAGGTCCCTCCACTGAGTCCCTCTCTGTTCTCCCAGCCACAGCCCCATTGTCACCCATGTAGCTGGTGAGGGTCCCTGAGAACTGGCACCCAGGACCAGGCTGGCTGCCACAAGGCCTCAGTGATTAAATGTGGTCAGGACCTGCCGGGAACGTTCCACCTCCAAAGTCCGTGCGGGATGTCAGGAAATGCTACTCACTCTTGGACCCCCACTCCAAGCTCTTGAATCTTCTTCTCAATGGCAGTTTCTACTTCACTTTTTTCTAACGAATATGCCACAAAAAACGCCTCCAAGATGAACGCTATGAAAATACTGAGAAAGAGGTAGAGGGCATTAGGTGGAGTCAGTCGTGGTCTGGGTGATGGGGAATTCTGGCTCCAGAGAGTGTTTGAGCCCAAATTAAAAGGCCCATCTTTGCAAAGAAAATACAACATGGAGAAGAAACAACAAAAATGTCTCTCAAGAATTGGGCACAACTTTCTTTCATCTGAAAAATTATTCTTCCTCTATATCCTATTTAAGCAGTGACTATTAAGAAGAAAATACAGGGTCTTTTTTTAATCACAGTTTTTAAAGGTCTAAAAATTTAAACCTTTAGAGTTTAAAAGTTTTAGGCTCCATTTAGAGGTATTAATAAAATTGGCTATATTCCCCGTGTTGTACAATATATCCTGTAGCTTATTTTATACATAAAGTTTGTGCCTCTTAATCCCCTACCTCTAAGCTGCAAAAATAATGCAACATTGCATGAATTTGCATGTTATCCTTGCGCAGGGGCCATGCTAATCTCCTGCGCCATTCCAGTTTTAGTATACATGCTGCCAGAGTGAGCACAAAAATACAGTTTATTTAAAGGGGACGCTAAGACCAAATATCTGTTGGTAGACAATTCTCCGTGAACGTCTCATGTTTCTGCACAGTCCGGGTCCTCTGAGCAAAGGCACCGAGAGCCAATTTAGGGATGTCTGTTTGCCTCCAGAGATGCTGCAGGCTAGTAAAGCTTAGTGCTGCCTCCTCCCCAGACACCGTCCAGCGTAGCTCACAAAATAAAGATCTGCTTACATTCGGGGCTGAAAATAAGGTCTTTCTCTTTCTCTCTCTCTCCAGAGGGGAGGATGGGAGGTTCCCCCCCAACCCCAGCTCCACCGATCAGTTTCCTCATTTTGGAGTTCCCCTCCTGCAGTGCAGCCCAGCCTGGCTGGCCCTCCTCATTGCTCAGTGGGGATTAGGGCTCAGGGACCTGATACAAGCATCACTCTGGCCGCAGCTCCTGCAACGAGTGACAAACTATCTCTGCGTCTGACCCGAGGCGCCACGCTTCCTGTCACTATACAAATGTGACATACAGGCAGACTAACCTGTTGGCTTGGGGGCAGGTGGGATCCCAGTCCCTTCACTGTTTCTGACTTTTATCGTGATGCTGATGGAGCCCAGGGCTGTCGCCACACCCACGTGCTCTGGGGAGGAAGGCAGCAGAAAGACCCCACAGCCTTTCACGCTGCCTCAACCTGCCCCTTCCAGCTCTCTGGAAACTTCTCAGGAGCCACTCGGGGAGGCATTTCTCTCCCTCGTTCCTACTACGTATTCCATTCAGACCGTGTGGGACAAGCGGGTCTGAGCAGCACTACGCAGTTTCCACTCCTCCCCGCCCTCCGCCTGGACGTTCCTGAGCCACAGTCAGCAGGATGGCGGCCAAAGCAGCCCTGATGTAACAAGGAAGGCATGGGGCTTGGCTGTCACCCCAGGAGCTGCGGGCCCCGGGGTCTGAGAGGAGAATGACAACCAGAAAGCCTCTCCGGTAGAACCAGGGAGCCAGAATCAGAGACTCGTAAGCTGGAGGGAAAGCCCTTGGGAGTGATGAGATGTCCCAGCAGCTTTCAAACAGTGACTGAGCTCCCCATGGGAAGAGGGGTCAGGGCAGGCCTGGAACCCATGACGAGGATTAACCAGCGGCACACTTCCACTCTACCTGTGCAGAGACAGGGGAGGACCGGAGCTGGACGACAAGGGAGCTGACTCTTATAGATTCTAGAGTCCCAGGAGTTGGACGGATTTCAGCAGAGGGTGGACAGCAATTCACAGGGATGTTCTAACAGTGGTTCAGTCCCAGTAGGGAAGGGTAGGGAGACTGGCCAGGACCCCCTGAGTCCTTCAGACCCAAACAACTTCTGAGGCTCTGAGATGTGGACCGTGTGCCAATGGGCATGGCTGGCTGAGATTGTTGAACACAAATGTGAGCCAAATAAAACATCTGCCTTCTGGCACCTTAGCATCCAGTAGGGAAGCTAGGACCCACCCACGCGGTACCTGAGGGTGGAACTGGGGAGGAGGGAGGTGCCGGTAGCTGAGGTCCTGAGAGGGGAGACCAGGGAGTAAACTCACTTAACAATGAGGATGACGACCACGATGTGGAACCCGATGAAATACAGCTTTGCCACCTGGTGAGTCACGAGGGCAAAGCCGTCCGCGAGGAGTATGAAGCTGAGGAACCAAACCTGGAGGAGCCGAGGCCTAATCCTCCTGGGAGTCACCCTCGGCACCTGCCCCGCCCCCAGCCCGCCTCCGCGGAAAGGATATTGTGCCACTGGTTGACCACCGTGAGCTCCACCAGCAGGATGAGCAAGGAGCCCAGGTCGTTGAAGTTGTTCCTGCAGTACTTGCCTCGGGCAAACGCTGAGTCTCTTAAGGCTGAGTTCCCACACGCCAGGGCATCTGGACTGGTGGAGTTGGGGCCAAAGAAGTGGACTCTGCCGTGGAACGCTTCCATCCCGATGATGGCAAACACGTAGTAGACCACCTAGAATGCGTGCACTGGTCACCGGTGGGCACACGGGGCAAGGAGCGTGCAGGAGAGGAGGAGGATGTGGACACCGAGCCCTGCACCGAGGGCCAGAAGAGAAGGCTGCCACCCTCCTCGTTCCAGGGACGATGCCCCCTGCCCAGCCAAGAGTTCCACCAGCAGCAGGAAGAGAGAGGGGACAGGGGACATGGCCAGCTGGACCACACCTTGGCCTCTTCCATGGTCTCTCACAAAGTCAAAATGAAGCTGCTAGCAAGTTTGTGGGTTAAATACTCAATAAATAATAGTCCCCCAGGGAAAAAATAATAAAACTGGATCTTTACTTTGTTTTTTATAACAAAATAAATTCCAAAGGTACCAAAAGGTTAAATGTAAAAACCAAACTATAAAGGAGCTAGAAAAACAATGAGTAGGAAAAACTCTTATAAGCACAACATAAAACCAGAAACTATAAAGTGAAAGATCCACAAGTATGACCAAACAATTAATGTAAACTTTTATACAGACAAAAAATAACAGAAAGCCTTTACTTAGGAAGAACAAAAACAAACGAATGATGGATGAGGAAAAATAATCACTCTGTATACAACTTACCAAGGACCTCTTTCCTTCATCAGCAAAACCTCTCTCAAATCATATAAAAAATAAAACTAATGGAAAAATGGACCAACACTATGAATAGGCTGCTTATTTTAAAAAATAAGCATAAGTGGCCCCAAGAGAATAGAAAAGACACTCAGCCTCATGAGTAACTAAAGAAACGCATGTCGAAATCACACGGTGCCGTCTTCTCACCCATCCGATTGGAGGATGTGGAAATGTTTACCAAACCCAGCTGTGAGGGGTGCAGAGAAACAGACGCCGTCACACGCTGGCATTTGGAACATCCACGGAGTACATGTTTTGGAAGGCAGTTTGCCAACATTGACCCAAAGTTTGAACACATTTACCTTCTGACCCAGCAGTTCCACTCCTAGGAATTACCCAACAGACACATGCACAGAAGCCAGGACAAGTTCAAGAATGGTCCTCACCCCTCATCTGTGATGGCACAGAGGTGAAGCTCCAGTGGTCTGTCAGTGAAGGGGCTGGTCAGCCATGTCTGGCGTCTTCCCTCAGTGGGACACTTTTCTTTTTGCTTGTTTATTTTCTTGACCCCTCATTTCTTTCTTTTATTTTTTAATTTTTATTGAAGTGTAGTTGATTTATAATGCTAGTTTCAGGTGTACAGGAAAATGATTCAGTTGTACATATACAAACATACGTATTTTTTCTTGTTGGATTCTTTTCCATCATAGGTTATTACAAGAAATTGAATATAGTTCCCTATGCTATACAGTAGGACCTTGTTGTTTATCTATTTTATATATCATAGTATGTGAGTGGGACATTCTTCATCATAGAACTCACACGGGTGCATGTGTCCCCCCAGGACATGGGACAAAGATATCAGAGAGAAGAAAGTCGCTCAACATTTGATACCAATGATCCCATTTGATGCAGCAATAAACTGGATATGCGCACGCGTGGGCGTGACATCCTTGTACACACGGAAATGTTTAGGAAGCATCAGGTGACACTCTTAACAATGGCTGCCTCTGGGAGAGAGGCATATGGGGGCTGGGAATGGGTGACCTGCAGCCCACTTTTCAATCTTTGGCGCTAACTGAACTTTTTACCATTATAACAGAACAGAAAAATGGGTACCCCAAATCAGAGTGCCCACCGCAGTCTGAGCCTCCTGGTCCAGAGCGTGGACTCACTCCTGGGCGGGAGGCTCCAGCCACCTTGCAGCCGTGCGTGGCTACAGTCTTACCACTGGGGATCTCAGGGAGAAGGTGGGCTTTCTTTGTGAGCAGAACAAAGAAGGATCCGAGGCTGGGGGTAGCGGGGTGGGGGGTCGAGCAGGCACAGCCACAAGCTGGAAGGAGCCTACATCCCTGAGAACCACCTGGTGGCTCGGAATACCTACCTGGACCATGGGTGAGAAAGAAACTCTAACGGGTTAACCCACTGACGTCGTGGTGTTTATTCCAGCAGCCAGTGTAGCTGGACTGCTATACGCCCAGCATTTCTAGACTCTTGATATTTCTAAAACTGGCTACTAGAAACCAGTGAATCTCACTGACTTAATCTCCCTTTCCTTCCCTCGCTTTAAGGCTTACTGAGAGTTGCTGAGCATGACCATCTGACCACTTACTTCACTTAGAACAGAAACAGAGCAGCCACTCACCAAGACAAGTCCGCCAAAAGTCAGCATCGTGGGGCCGATGTTAATCAAGGTGGTCACGATAACCCGGAACCTGGGATAAGACAGTTTCCGACACAAGGCAAAAGGACGATGGGGCGCTGACCCCGCGCGGGCAGGCTTGGTTTAGTGCCCCGCCCCCAGCCCTGGGTCTGCTCTTTAAATGCTGTCAGGAATTTGCCTTTACAATTTTATCAGAACCAGTCCATCTAAAGAGCTGAGGGGGGAGTTAACTTGTAGTTTCTCCTGAAGCAAAACAAAGCAAGACGGTTTTTTAAAAACGTACGAAAGATAATCACAGAGTTTCACAAGTAAGACACAGGTGGGTGTGGAGGTTGAAAAACCATCTCGCCTCACCTGCGTTTCTCCCCACACCTTGTCCTTCATCAAACCTCCAGCCTGTATTAAGGCTGATCTGTGACGTAGGTTGAAAACTATACATTTTGCAGAAGAGCAGGACAGTCCTCAGATGGAGGCACCCCCACTCACTCTGAAAGGAACCTGGTCTCTCCAAACTAGGGTAGGTTTTCCCAGGTTTGGGGATCAGATTCCTGCGGTTGGCACTCAAGTTCTGCCTCTTTCAAGCTGTGCACCACTGGGGGAAATGCTTAACCTCTCTGAGCTTCACTGTCATCACCCGTGAACAAGCGGATCATAAAAGCCCCTGCATCAAGGGCTGTTAAGGGGATTTAACAAGACAATGGTGAGCACACTCAGCTGCCATCACGACCACTGCCCAGTCACTAGGCTGCACGCACAGTTGAGGGAGCAGGTCACAGGGATAAAAGTGACCAACAGAATCCCTGTCATGGGGAATGGCCGTGTGGGTGCTCTTCCCCATCTTCACGGGCTCCCTTCTCCTCCTCACTGCCCCCAGAGAACCCAGATCCTCTAAACAAGTTACATCCTGGGTTCACAGCTGAGTGTGTTTATAGTTCCACCACCGCAGGGTGGTTTCTGTCCCGCCCAAGGTGGGGGACCACCCAGGTACAGCCATTTCTCGTGGCTTCACCTTTACCTCTGAATGCTGACAATGACCCTTAAGAGCCGGAGTATTCTCAAAATCAAGACAATATCCAGTATCTGCTGACTGTTGTATTTTCTTGCTGGAAAAAGAACACAATTATGTAACGTTGCGTTTTCTGAGCACCTCTGGCTTGACCCTTTTACTCAGTGAGGTCTGAGACTCTGTGGGTCCTGGGAAAAGATGGGCGTCACCTCAAGAACAGGGCGATGGCCCTGAGCAATCAGGGAGTACTGCCTCGAGTCACTTAGTCCCCCAGCGAAGCAAAGCCACGCTGAGCGTCCCCTCCAGCCCCTAGAGCTACAAATCACGAGTGTGGAAACAGACTTCAGACCATCATCAGTGACTGTGGATCCCGTTCTACAGAAGAACACATTTCAACAAGCCCTTCCTCCCCAGCATTCATTTCACAGCCACGTTAAGAAGCTGCTGTATCTCTAAACAGTCCCTGCCGTCTACAGGAAGGAGCATGCGTGTCAGCAGTGGGACATGCTGGGGAGCCAGGGGAGGGTAGAAAGAAGCGGGTGGTGGACAGAGGCTGGTGCTACAGCTGGACGCTGGGCGGGGGCCAACACAGGCAGAGGGTCAAGGATGAGCCCTGACACCAAGGGCAGTTTTGGAGGGATGACCAGGTGAGTCTTAGGGCTGGCAGACACCTACAAGTGAAGTCTCTAACATACAGCTAAACACGAACAAAGCAACCATCCTTCTCCAGAACAAGGGACACTCTGACTACTTCTCTTGTGTCCCCACTGCCTCCCCCCAAACACCTTAGTGGCGCACCATGGATATTCTACAAAGATTACTGACTGAACGCACAATCCCGGGAGGCAGGGAAGCTGAGAGTCGGTGGCACTGACCTGACTGGATGGTGGTGTTGGCCACAGTGGCCACCAGGGCTGCAATGATGATCAGCGTATCAAACCTAAAAATGCAGAGGCAGCGTCACCAAGGAATCAAGGGGAAGGCCCGTCAAGCTCAGGGCACAATGGATCCTGAGAAAATTCTGAATTCAATTATCTGATGCGAAGCAATGATCCAGCCACCCAACTGATCCAGCCATAATTTTTAGGACAGCAGATACAAACACTGTGTTTGATCGTTTACTGGCTGTTCCAATGAACCATCTCCAGGGAGATTTGTATGAATCAGGTAACTGGTATCACTCTATCTTCCAATAACTATCTACTTGCAAGAATACTTTGGTACTTTTTCAGAACACGACATATAATCTTTCTTGGCATTAATTTTACTAATTGCATCGTAAGCTTTTCAACTAAAAGGTTCATCACTTCTTTCCAACAATGGTGCCACAGTGACAGACAACACCAGCCAGGTCCCATTGGGCCACATGTAGTGAGTTTCTTGGCACTGAGAGCAGTGACCACAGAGATCCAACCCTGCCAAGCTATGCACTAGGCCAGTGTCCCGCAGTGCCTGACAGTGGCACCTGAGATGGTCTGCGGCATGTAGGCAATGGTTTGAGACCAGGAGGTACACAGACTGGGTCACGGAGGTCACAGGAGACATACCCAGCCCGGGGAAGAGCTTGTCCAACCACACAGGCCAAGTTTTCTGATAAAAGACCAGGGAGTGGGCCAGGGATCTATGGAAGAAACTGTCTCACTGGGTGTGATATTCGAAGGTCCTCTCCAAATCCAAGATGCCATCATCTGCAATTCTAATTTTAGAATCATTCAAACTACATAAGTAACAGTTGTGACTGAGCCAGCTGTTCCCCTGCCCCCAAGATTTCATCATAAGACACCTCAAAACTAGGCAGATGGAGCTTGTAAAACTCCAACTTTATTCCCCAGACCATGACAGGAGGCCTCTCTCTTCTCCCACGGTCCCCTCCTCAGAACACACGGACTCACCAGTTCCAGAACTGCTTCCTTCCAAAATACGCTCTGGGCTCATACGTGTACAGTTTCAGGAGGATCTCAATGATGTAGAGAGAAAGGAAAAGCCATTCCGCATAGGAAATGAAGGGGTTTTTCTCATCCAGAGCAATGAAGATGGCATTTATTAGGATGATGACATCATAAGCCCAGACAAAAACCCTGGCAGGAGGGAAAAAAAGAAGAGATCCAATTAGGATGCGTGTCAGTTAGACGGATCAAACATAGGCTCTCCAATCAAGATCAATGACTCTTTCTGGAGCACATCTACTTGGGAATAAAAGATGGACTTAACACTGGCATCCTTGACGACCATTCCAGCAACTCTAACTTGTTTCTTCTTCCCACATACTTTACAGCGTCAAAGGGGCCGTATTTGATATCCACTTTCTAGTGACTCTGATGGGGCTGGAACTTCCTGAATTCAGAGAGTGGTCAGCTTCCCTGGATCTGGAAGCACGTCCAGTCTGTGGCCCCTGAGCACCAGGAAATATCAAAGAAGGAAGCAGAATCTAGACGCCTGCCTGTCCTTTGGCTGAAGTTAAAACACAGCATGTCCAGAACTCCCTCCATGCCTCCCTGAGAAACCAAAAGCAGCAAGCAGGTGGCTGATTTACAGCTTCAGTGACGAAGCACATTCAATCCAGACAGCATCAACAGAGTCTTCTATTTTTAAAGCAACTCGAGGGAAAGCTGGCCCGGTCTCACTTGCCTGTGCCGAACCACCTTCTGGACCAAGAGGCTTGCAGACGACTGGTATACCCGAGGCATCCAGGCTTCCAGTGGGTGTCTCTTGACATTGATGGTGATCACCTGGATGTTGAGGAGGTCAGGCAGGCGTAGAAAGTTCACTTTGTCTGCAGTAAAAAAAAAATGACCCCTTAATACATGGCCACTGTGACAATAAGGTCCAAAGGGTGAAGCCAACTCAGCACAGACTCTCGGATCTGCATTTCACAGGTGAAGAGCTGAAGCCTTAAAGGGGGAGGCCCAAGACCAAGGGGCCAAGGAGTGGCACAGCCTCCCACCCATCCTGACTCAGGCCCTCAGCCCGCCCAAGACAGCCAGTCCAAGCATGGGACTTTGCTAGTTCACAGATGCCACCGCCTCACTCCCCGCCTTCCACCCTGCTTCCCCCCTCACTCAGGCCATCACTGCTTTCCACGTGTGCCTGGCCTACCTTCCCAGCCTCAACCCCTCTCCCCTTCCTCCTCACAAAGCCTCCAAAGCCGGTATAATCCATACCCTTCCCGTCGAACTCCTACCCTCTTCTCTGCCCACCCTCCCTCTCCACCCCTTCCCAGGGACTCCCTCAAACCCAGAGCCTCCACAACAGGTTGGCCCATCACCCCAGGCCAAAGTGCAGTGGGCACTTTCCTGATCAGCCTGGCCCCACCCAGCTGCTGGGTCGATGCTCTCTGGACTTGCTGAGCACCCAGGCTACCCTCCACTGCCCCAAGCACCTCTCCCCCACCAGGTAGGTCAGATGCTGACCACGAGTCAACTGAGCTGGTTCTCAAACCCGTTTGTGCATTAACTTCCCGTAACCTATATCTTAAAGAGACATCACATCAGCAGATGAAGTCAGATTGTACATAGAGTGCTGCTGCTTCTTTGAAAACCAAGTTGAATGCTTTGCAAACTTTAAAGAAAAGTGCTGAATTGGGGAAGGCATAGCTCAAGTGGCAGAGTGCATGCTTAGCAGGCACAAGGTCCTGGGTTCAATCCCCAGGACCTCCTCCAAGAAATAAATAACTAAACCTAATTACCTTCAAAAGAAAGAAAGGAAGAAAGGAAGGAAGGAAGAAAGAAAAGTGCCAAAATAAATTGCAGATCAGGGATGGCTGACACTGCTGTTCAAGACTCGGGTGGAGGTTTTAAATCCTAGGATGCTTCTCACTTAGAGGGCTGGCAGGAGGCTGGCCTCCATTTCAAGTTTTCAGAGGTAAACAGCGAATCCTGGTCCTACAGGTGCCACCACAGTGTGGTTTATGCAAGAAGAATGATGGGGAACTGCCATCAGCAGACACTCAGGCAAAGAGAAAGCCTCAGCCCATCCAATGTGTGGCCTCATCTGAGTGAGGAGCCTGAATCTGACGAAACCCTCAGTGACAGGGAACAGTCACGCTGCTACTTCCCCAGGAGCCGTATAGTCCTAAGAATAAGAGAGCGCATGGTCCGTCCAGTCGGATGAAAGACGCTCTTGGGTATCTCAGGAGAGCTTAGTGCCTGTGCCTTTACAGTTAGGAGCACAATGCACACACATATCTTAATAGCTCAAGGCATGAACTGAAGCATGGCCTCGGAGAATTAGGTGACGTGATAACTTGGATCCAGGGACCTGGGCCACGTGAGCCCCTCCATCGGAGAGGTAGGGAGATGCTGCCATGACAACCACAAGCAAGGTCTGGGGTGACCTGCCAACAGGAACCCAGCCAAAACCTCAGCTATTACATAAACTCAACCAGCAGGGAGCCCATCAGTCTCCCTGGGCTCACACCGTTTAATCCAGAAGATTCCGTAGAACAGGAAAGGACAAAGAGACCCAAAACCATGGTAATTTTGTGTCAAGAAGGAGTCTGTCCCCCATCTGATACTTCATGGTGGAGATCAAGAGTCAGCAAACTTTCTTCTGTAAAGGGCCAGAGAGTGAATACGTTAGGGTTTGTGGGCCGTGCGGTCTCTGTTTCAACCACTCAGTTCTGCTGTCATAGCACAAAAGCCGCCATAAACAATACACAAGTGGATGCGCCTGCCTGTGTTCCAGTAAAACTTTATTCAGAAGCGCAGGCAGTGCGCCATATGTAGCCTGTGGAACGTAGTCTGCCAAGCCTCGGTGTAGATCCATCACTTGATCCATATCCTCTGTTAATAATAATTCGAGTCAGCTCTTTTCTTTCCACATTTGCAAGTTCCATGTTTCTCAGTTTAACACTAGATCTGCGTCTAACACTTTCAGCACTAACGGAATTCCAGCGTTCAGCCTTAGAAACCACAAATGCCCATAACGGCTGATCGAGGGGGACAGTGAGAACGTTCGGAGAACGGTGGCTCTCCCTTGCCTGTGCTGAGTGGAGACTGTCACGAAGCATGAAATTCTGTCTGGCTTTCTGTTATTAAAACTGTCCTTGAAAGTGCTGGTTGAGGGGTAGGTATAGCTCAGTGGTACAGCACATGCTTAGCATGCCTGAGGTCCTGGGTTCAAGCCCCAGCCCCTCCATTTAAAAAAATTTTAAAATTAAAATTAAAAAATTAAGAAAATGCTGGCTAAACAAAGGAGACTTTGAACCCACAAACATCAGAAATTACTGCTATCACCTATAAAAGATAACCTACGATTCCCGACCTGTGATTCCCTAAACACCAGCCAATCTGCCTGGCTGTCTTCCCCAAAGATGCCTTTGCCCTGGTAACAGTATTTAAACTGACATTGCTGTTTTGTAAAAAGTAAAATACTGAGGACATTGGCTAAGCCGTGAGCTCACGGGGGCTTTCTTTTTGCTACAGCCCTGGAGCTCGGATAAAATCTATGGCTCTGATGGAGTCCTTTTGTCAAACCGGATGAGACCCCGTCTCTAATTTACAAATAGGATCCTGACTCAGGTAGCAAAACTGAGCAGGACTCAGTCAGGAGCCAGCGAATGGTAGTCAGGGTGGTGGGTGTGTCCTGGGGGAGTCAGGTGGCCCTGGGCAAACAACATAACCCCTGTGGGTCTCAGTTTCCATGCTGACAAACGAGGACAACAAGACCCCCAACTGGGCGAGTCTGAGGACGATCACATACACACAAGGCATGGAAACAACCACGCCAACGCCACACGCAGGACAAGCAGGCTCCCCTTATTATTACTGATAATAACTATCAACAGCTACTATGTGACTATTTAGGTTACTTTCAACTTTCCACATCTAAATGCTAAATGTAATTTAGACATATATTTATACAGCCCTTTTCTGCATCTTAGATGCGCTCCCAAAAGCAGAATCCTGAGAGGGGAAGGAAAATGGAAAAACATCCATCCCATCACTTTTAGAAGCCCCTCCCACCCCCAACCCACGTTCCGATGCACGAGGAAGAGGAACGCTAGTGGCCAAGGCTTCTTACCCACGTGACCCTTCTGTCCCTCGTCCAAGATCCTCAGAAGGAGCTCCAGGTGGGAACTGCTGATGTCCGGTGCCACCACCTTGACCAGCCGCCTCCACTGGGCCTCCTTCACCACAGACTCTGTGCCCACCTTGACCTTCAGAATGTTGAAAGCCTCTATCATTTTGCGACGCTTCAGGTATGCCAGTGTGCGAATCTCGTTCTTTAAAAAAAAACAAAAACAGAATTGTGTTTTGATAAGAGAAAGATTCAAGAAAGCCGTGTGTCTTCGCCCGAAACATTTCAAGGTAATGGAATTTCAAGTCCAAGAGAAGTCACCGACGGGCCTGTGGATGCGCAAGGGACCAAAGCCCTCCCGGCTCCAGGTGCGTGTCCCTGACCCCCCGCCTGCAGAAATGGAACTCCGCTTACCCAGTGCAAACCAGGGAGCCCGTGACGGGTAATCTGGGTGGGGAGGAACAGAGCAGCAGGAGGCAGACATGTCCAAACTCCACTCTGCCCAGGAGGAGGGGAGATTCCGGAAAGGAAGGAAATCGGGTGTGCTGCTGAGAGGGGGCACGCGGGAGAGCGAGGAGACAGAGCCACCATTAAGTCCATCGAGAGAGGGGGAGGGGTAGGAAAGGCAGGGAAGTGAAACTAGGCCAGAAGTAAGTGGTCCAGAAAGAAGAGGTCCAGGGCAGGAAGGACAGCGGGGGACTGCCGGGAGCTGCCATTGGCCTGACTGTGCACAGAGAACCTTCCAGAAGGGGGAAGCCCCCTCGAGTTACAGGTGGCCACCTCGATGCCTACCCCTTCTGCTCCCTGTAGGGCCTGGTACCCCATATAATCATCATCACTTAATGGATTACATGGCTGGACCTTAAATTCTTAATGGATGCAGCTGTGTCTTCATCACCTTTGGCTCCTCAGGACTTTGGTGTTGGGCACATGAAGCGTGTGTAAGGTGTGCTTGCTGATGGATTCATCAGCAGATCAATTTTTGAGGCGTGTTACCAAAAGAAACACTTCCCTGGGGGAGAAGGGAGGCAGAGCAACAGTTCTGTCCCGCAGTGAACGAGAGGGGAGGCAGGACAGACTCCCTGGGACAGCCGCCTCCTGCTCAGAGGGAGGAATCCAGAGTCGGAGGGCGGCTGGGAGGCCTGACCTTGGGGTCAGGGGCAGCTGGGGTGCCCACAATGCATAGACTCCTCAGGACCTGGACAGGCCAGACACCTTCAAAGGGCAGTTTGGCCAAATCTCAGACTCCAGCCCTACCACCCGCTTCTCCTTGGCTGCAAGCTTTTAAGTTCTTCCCCCCTGGTGGGAACATCCCTAAGCCAAGAAAAATTCCTCACAGAATTAAAAGGATCAAAAAGCAAAAGGCTATGTCGTCCCTTAAGGAAAATAATCCTTTGATGAAACCTTTCTCTGTGCAGTTAGTTTTACAATCGGAGAAAACAGCCAGTGGGAAACGTGGGCGGGGCAGCGGCCATGGCGGGCAGGCGAGACGACAGGTATCCTGGTAGACTCCGGGCTGGAAATAAAGCATGCTCCACTCCAAGCACTCAGAAGCCTCTGCCCACCCAACACCTCGAGGAATTCTCCAGACATCAAACAGGAAGGCACCAGGGCAGAAACTGTTGGCTTTAAGGAGTTTCTGCTTCTGTTGGAGGGGAAAAAGGAACCGGAATCTTGGAGAATCTCCCAACCCCAGTGATACACAAGACAGTTCAAGGAGCCATGAACAAGTCGATGCATTAGGAGCGAGAAGCAAAGCCAGGCCCTGCCCCTGCACGCGAGCCTGGGAGACGCTGTCAGTCCGATCACAGACTGGGGCAAGGAACCGCCCAGCCCAGCAGAAGAGAGCAAGGTGCCCAACAAGTCTCCAGATTCCCCAAAGCAAAAGGAAAATGGACACTTCCAAGTATTTAGCTGATGCGTTTGCCAGCCTGCCTCCCACTGCACCCAACCATGCACCTGCCCCACCCTGACCCCCGGGTCATGCGCATTACCTTTAAGTGCTTCCTGTAATTGTTGTAGACGACAGCCAGAAAGACGGACATGAAGATGTAGGTGTTGATAATGATGTAGGTTATAAAGTACAGAGAATACCACCAGTTGAACTCATAGGCAGGCATCCTAGAAGGAAATCAGTGTCTTTCATGGTTTTTCATGCCCTCGGTCCACAGCGCATAGAAGGCTGACCGTAGGTGACATCCCGCACGGACAGTCCAGGTGCACGAGGCACAGGGAACCCTCTCTCACATTAACTCTCCCCCAGACAGTGCGATGGGGCCTCAAAGCCACCAACATCCTTGATGCTTAACAGCTTGCTCCAAACCTGCTTCTGAAATTCTTAGTGCCTTAGACAGGTGCCAACTTTCAAAGCAGGCAGGACCTTGGAGATCCCCCCAACCCATTTCTTCCCTTCACAGTGTGAAAATCGAAAATCCTAAAAGGAGAGTGACTGACCCAGAATTACAGAGGGAATCTGAAACATGGCTCTTGGGTTTACACTCAAGGCTTGTCAGGGACACCAGACTGCCTTGCTGGGCAGCAGATAATTCTCTATCCACACTGGGACACTGAGAATCAAAGGGGCACCCGTAATAATGGCACCGGGACAAAAGGCATAAATCAGGATGCATGCTCACACCACCTTTAAAGGCAACTGGATTTTGTCCAGGAGGGGATCTTGTGGGCAGCAGGCTAGGGTCCGAGGGAAAGAGCCAGGAGAACACAAGGAGGGCCAGGAACTTCACCTTGCTCACTTTTTGCCAGAGCCAGGCCCCAGAGTGAGCAACAATCCAGAGCAAGTTGACGTGATGGTCCTTCGCAGTACGAGACGACAGGAAACCCGCCCCTCCCCACAGCGCAGGATGGGATGGGATGGGATTGACGTCTGCGGTTAGAGCTCCATGCACACAGAACCCCAAGAGCTATCTACTCAGTGGGTCACTGTTTAATGATCTTACCTCCATGAACAAGGCAAATCCACAACACAAAGGTCATTAGAAAAAACCCCGTGATGTTTTCCTCCCAAGTAATGTCTACATGTGTGGAAAACTGGCACTAGGGGGTGGGGAGAGGTGACAGCCACTAATTTTTACATTTCTTTCCTGTCTCATTTAGCCCAAAAGCCACATCAGTGCTTAGGGGAACAAGCCATGATTCCTTTACAAAAATGGCTTAGGCTTCTGAACTCAAGACTCAAAGAAAATCCCAGACGAGAAAGTGGGCTCGAATATTTAAGTTGAATCTCAAGAGATGTCTCCTGTTGCCTTCAGTTTAAAAAAAAAATCATCTAAATTTAGTTTTATAGAGGGTAAGCTATCTTTAGTGTGAACATTTTGGGTGCTTCAAAAATTTTACAACGAATAATAAACAGAAAATCACTATTTTTTTTTCTCTTACAGCTGCTTTTGACAAAGTGAACTCTGTTCGGGTAACAGATGCTAGATGGGGACTCACGTACATGACGTCGGGGCTGTTTGCAGTTGTGACCAGCACATAGAGCTCAAACGCTATGTCCAGGATGTTCGTGAAGTAGGGCGATCCTTCCACTGTCTTAAGACTCCTAAAGAGGAACCAACAACACAGAGTGAAAAAGCCCACACACATAAACGAAGTTGTGGTTTCCGACACACTTTCCCCTTCCCCCTTTTGACTCTCTCACCAACAGGCTGAACCCAAATGTGGCAGATTCTCTGGAAGTTTGTACTTCCAGAGCAGCGCACTCACCGGTCCCCAAAGAGCTTCAGGGCCATGAGGGAGAACGTCCCCACACTGAAGATAAACAAGAGGAAGACGTAGAGGACATCAGGCAGCGTGTTCCGGATGCTTCGGAAAGCCCTTCGGATCTGGGAAGACAAAATTCCATTTCACTGACGAGACATCAGCTAATTTTCTGCAAAATCAAAAAACCCGCCCTCGAGCGTCCTGCATCACATCCTTACCTGACGGCTTTCGGGGAAGTTAATCAGGAACACGGGCCTTAAGGCCCTTGACCATCGGATGCCATAGACATTAAGAGCTTCCAGGATCCCGTAGACAATCAGATCAACCAAGGTCAACTGTGAGAGACACAGGACAGGTGTCGGTACTGCCAGAGGACAGAGTAAGTGTGTGTGGATGCAGGTTCGCTGGCCCAGAAAGAAGCTCCACGACACGGAAGAAAAGCAAGTTTCATTAGACAGAATAATCCAGTTTGATAATAGAATATTAATAGCAGCTGTCATTTGAGAGTTTACTATGAGCCATGCCATCTAATAAGCACTTTCGGTAGATTATTCCATTTTATCTCACCGCACTGATAAAGTGGGCACCATTGCTGGATGGAAACACTTGAGGCACAGAGAGGGAGATCATGGGTGCCCCGTCACACAGCTAATAAGGGGCGTAGACCTGGCACTGGAACTCAGGTAGCCTGCCATCAGAGCCCTGGCAGCTACGCGCACTGCTACGAGCGCCCAGACCGCATTGTACTTAACTTTTAACTTCCCTTCAGTTTGACATAGGAGAGAGTTTTCTAGCCTAGCAATGGGGTAAAAATATCTAGAACACAGAAAATCCTGATTAATTCTTATTAATGTCAGTCTGTGACCCTGCAGGCAGGGCAAAAGAAGAACCCAGTGCTACTTTAGGAGAATATAAGTTAAAAAGGAATAATCTACTAACATCAAAAGTGTTAGCTCAGTCCCTTTGGCAGCAAGAGGATCCAGAAAGATCCAACGCAGAGGAGACAAAGGACCCAGGAACAGGCTGGTGCTGCCGGTGCACTGGGCATCCACTGAAGGAACCCACCCAGGGCAGCAGGGACAGGCAGATAACGAACGATTATAGTGTCTGAGAAGACTTCCTGGAGGAGGCACTCTTTGATGGAATCTCAAAGCAAATAAAATTCTTTAAAAGGAGAAAACTCAGAAAGGTCTAGAGCCAAGGCAGGAAGGCATCATAAAGGGACACCTGGGGAAGCAGAGGGTCCTGGGGTTGGGGCGGGGGGAGCAGGAAGTGACGAGGCTGATGGCAGGGGCTTTGAGGACCAGGCTAAAAAGGTAAGTCTTATTCCCAGGGCCTGGGGAACCCTGAAAGTCTTTCGGGTAGGGATGATGGAGCCTAAGGAGTGAGATCTCTCTGGTAACAGATGCAGGACAGACTTGGACAGGGCAACCGCGTATCCTCAACCAATTCACTCCATACACCTTTAGGGAGCGCCTCTTGCATGCAGGGCATTGTTCTACTGCTGGAGGAGGAGCAAAGAGCCAGCTGGAAAGTGCCTGCCCTCGCGGAGCGTGTACTCCGGCGGCAGGAAGGAACATCCCTGATGATAAGTATGGTGGCCAGACCTGCTCTGGAGACAACCCAGGTGAAGCTGGGGCTGAGGGCGTGCAGGGTGGTGGCATGGGAGGAGCGGCCATGCAGCACTGCCTGGGTGGAAGTCATACGGGGGAGGGACACAGCCCAGCCACGACAAGGAGTTTGGCTTTTCTCTGATGGGAGATGGGAAGTTGCTGGATGATCTGAAGCAGGAAGCACGTGGACTGGACTTAGGCTTGAAAAGTGTGCATGTGCACACCGTATTCTAGACACCGTGCCAGGAGTCTTAGGAGATGAGGAGGGACCTCTGACCCGGGCCTGAGATGGGGCCATGTAGCAAAAAAGGCCCTGAAGGAGGTACATGCTCCCCTGGAGGAGAGAGCATGGGTGCCTTTTCTATTTTACAGCCTGTCTGTATTGTATGGATTTCTCTTTCTTTCAAAAATAGCCTCCCCCCTCAACTTGTTTCTTTCGGTTTTCCCACCCATCCCATCCTCCACCTTCCTGTGTCAGGCGACATTGCGTTATGGGCGGAACCCAAGCTGTGGTCACAGGCACTACCCCAGACTGAGCATTCTTGTATTCGTTCGTGTTTCAGTAATAGAAAGTGAAGCTATTTCTAAAAAATAAGAACAGATAGATACTCTGCATATTCTGAGAGATTGGTAGACATGAAAAACAGGGAAGTCAGAACAAGTACTTAGAGAAAGGGTGAGAAAAGACAGTGAATATTCCAGACAAGAGACACTGCCAATGGGAGAAGAGCCGGCGGTGTGTGAGGGACAGCATGCAGCTCGGGCAGCTGGATGGAGGGGACCTCTGGAGGCACCTTTGCAAGACTGGTGGCGCCAGAGTCCTTGACAGTCCCAGGGGCTCATAGACACTTTTTGAGCAAGGAAGGTTGTGATTGGAGGTGTGACTGTAGAAAATGAATCCAGCAGTGGCATCTCAAATGCATGTATCAGGGATCTGAGGTTAAGGTGACCATGGCAGTTCCTCAAAGGCATGACAGGGGCCTGGACCACATCTTGAGAATGGAATGGAGTGCAGTCAAGAGAGAATGCATGGCCACATCAGATCATGGCAACAGTCCCCATGGGGAGGAGGGGAAACATGGCAAGAGACATCCCAGCGGGGGTTGGGGGAGGATGGAGGAGAGAGAGAAGGGAGGGGATCTTGACGAGGAAGACAGGATGAGTGCTGGGAGACAGAGCACCACAGACCAACGAGAAGAAGGTAAGTTTGGTCCCATTGAGTCTGAGTTCAAACACTGATGAGAAAACAAGTAGCAAGCAACTGGCCATGAAGTATAGAATCTCAGAGGAGAAACTGGGGTCAGCTACAGCCTGGGGACCCCCATCCACCCAGTGTTCGTGGAAGCCCTGAGGATGGGTGGTCCTCTTAGGAAAGACCATCAAGTAGAAAGGGCAGAGGTGGGGACACCGAGCCCTGGGTTAACTGAGAAGGACCACGGTTCAGGCTGGCTGGCTGCTGTGCTGAGATGCTCAGTATAATCTAAAGTCCCCCCAGCTAATCACTGGCCCCGCCTCTCTGCTCATCACAGCAACACTTCAGAGGGCGTTACCTTGCCTCACTTGCCATAGCCTCTTAGCAGAGATCCCTCCAGATTTTTCTACCAATCTCTAACACTCTCTCCTCTTTTCTTTCAGCAAACATGTGCTGCCACCATCTTGTAACCTGCTTTTTTTGACTTAATAGACAAAAAGCATCTCTCCTGAAGAATAGACACATATGTGCATTTAGGGCCATGTTAAAGGGTTGTGTGGAGGGGCCACATTTTCTTTCTTTCCTGTTGTTAGGAAATCGAGTTGTTTCCAGTTTTTCAATATTACGAACAGGCAGCCATGACCGATCTTGTGGCTAAATCTTTAAACACATCCTTCTTTACTAAAGATAAAGTCCCAGGACTGGAAATCGGGCAAGCCCATGCACACCTAAGGCTTTCGAAAGGAAATGCCAACACCCTTCCAGCAAGACATCTTGTGCCTCCCTCGAGCAGAGGATGAGGGGTTCTGTCTTCAGCCCTGCTAACATTGTTTTACAGGCAAACACATGCTATTTTATTTTTGCTTTACTATATCTTTCTTAATTAGGGAAGTTAAACATTTTTCCCTATCTGCCTTTATCTTTTCCTTCTTCTTTTTTCTCTTTAGTTGGGAGGTGCTCCTGCTATGTTAAAATGGTCACACCATCACCTGCTGCCCGACTCGGGCTTCAGTTGTGGTCTGCCAGCAGCTGCTGTACGGACATCTGTCATTGTTCCTCGAACCGAGTCAAATCAATAGAGCCTTTTCTCTTCGTAGTTTCTGCCTTTGACCACAGACTCTCGAAGGCGCCAGGATGAGCACTCACCACTATGGTTACCATGATGCAGATATTTTTCGTATCCTTCCAGAAAACCATCTGAGGAGTAACTTTCGCAAAGTGTACAAGTCTCCCAAAGAATGCAGTCAGGCAGAGCACTTCTGCTATCGAGGTGACCTGCAGCACAGAACAGAGACTGAGCCGACGCCCCGCTGCTCGGAGGCTCGGCCTTAGTTCTCTCCTACCTGCCCCCCATGCGCCCCTGATGCCCCCGGACACTGCCCTGTGACAGTTAGCAATATCCCTCAATTTTACGGAAAGTGGCAGCAAAGTTTTTGCTGGTTGGGATGGTCTCTTCCTCCTAAAAGGAAGCCTGCCCCTGGACCACTAATCCCATGACCCAGCGGGCAGGGCTTCCTCGGTGGGGGGGTGGAGGGCAGGGGTGCTGAATCAGCAGGGAGAGGACCCCCCCCAGAAAGCATTTCCCTGGGAAAGGGGAGGTCAGGGATGGCAGAAGCAGGCATCTTCTACACTCTCAAATTCCCCACGTTCATATTCAGACTGGACATCTAGAAGTTCAGTTTCTCCCATAATAACTCTCCAAAGACATGTTCTGGAATGCCGGGGCACTCCTTAGTAGACATCGCTGCCACTGCCGCCTGGGTTTGGCTGCTTAGAGAGAATGGAGGCCACTAAGGCCCGCCACGAAGTCCTGACCATCTCCTCCATGGGTTACCAGGCACCAATTCCAAACCCCCTACAGGCAGCTAGATGTGCAGCCTGTGTGTACAGCCCATGCTTTGCCTGTCCTGCAGTTGCCATGAGACAGTAACTCCCCCCTAACAAGGGCATTTTCCACCATCAATGGGGAGAGGAAGAGGGCAGAGGAGGACGAGATGGGGAAAGAGGCAGGCTAGGAAGACAGAAAGGTCTGGGGTGAGGGCTGGAAGGAATGCGTCTCCCAAAAAAAAACAGGGAGGAAGGGGCAGCACGTGGCACAGGTCCCCCACCCCCAACCCAGCCCGCGTGGGTCCTGGCGTGGATCTGAGCGCAGCCCCTTGCCAACCTTCCAGCTCTCAGCCTGTTCACCCATGAGGCGCTCTAGAGACTCACGGTCAAGGCCGGGCTTGCAAGAGGGCCTGTGGCAATCCCAGGACACCTCTGCTCAAAATACGATCTGCTTGGGTAATGCTGGATCTGGGCCCAAACCCCCTGTAACACATTTGATTTGCGGCTTGAAGTACAAATTCTGACCGAAGGAATATTCTGGAACTCAGGCAGCCAAGCCCAAGCGGTGTGTGACCAATAACAGAAGGGTCAGGACTCAGAAGAGAGGCGAGGGGCTGAGAGCAGACCCCGTGGGACTCTCCTCGGCCAGGGTGGGCCGGCTCTCTCCAGGTCTGTGAGTGCACATCTCCGCCTCCTTGGACTTCAGGGTTTGTTTTGACAGCCACTGGGCTAAAAGTTTTCTACCCAGAGGGTTCATTCACTGCGGCATCCTTGTCACATGAAAGCGTGAAAGACCGTCAACTTTGACAGCCCCCAGTGAACCGCACTTCTGGGTTTCACCCCCGGGTTCGGGGTCCTTCCCCTGTTGACTCAGGGCTTGGGCATCTGATGCGCTTTGGCCAACAGGACACCAGCCAGTGGGGTGCAAATGGAGGTGAATGGTGCTTGCACACTGGGGTGCTCCTTCTTGGACCCCCTCCCCCCACCAACTGGGAGCAGCCCAGGCCATGGGAAGCGGCCGTGTGGCAGAGAACGGGGGCGCTCTGGGCCACAGCTCCAGCCAGGCGAGCTCCCCGCTGACAGCCAGCAGTGCCTGCCGGCCTCGGGAGACCTGCCACCCCGGCCGGTGCCACATGAGTGGGAAATCTGCCCGACTGAGCCCAGTCACCTGCAGAATCATGGGAGATAATAAAAGCCAGCTCTTTAAGGCAAAGGGTCAACGAACTTTATCTGTCAAGGGGCCAGAGAGTAAATATCTCAGGCTTTGCAAGTCATACAATCTCTGTAACACATCTCTCAGACGCGAGAACAGTGTCCAGTTAGGAATTAATGTGAGCAGGTCATCAATTGATTACTTAGACCTGTTTGGAATAAATGAGTAACTTGATGTGTTATAAAAAGCACCTACAAATAATGACTTATGACTATGAAAAAAAGCTGCAGATGTGGCAACCGCAAGTCACATATTACCCTATATTATAACATTGTCCACTTGACATTCAATAAATATGCTTTTAAAACAGTGTTTGTCCATCCGATTTATCCCTGGAGAACCAAAAAACTGCCACTCCCTCTCAAACGCTTTATGATGAGAGCATCAGCTCAGCGAGGAGGCAGAATTCTTCCAAACCCCCAGAAATAAAAATAAAACCAAATCCATAAATATTAAAATTGGAAAAGAAACAAAAAGGAAGTGGCCTGAGACCCAGCTCATCTGTGACAAAGTCTGGTCAGCCATTCTGTTTTTAATGCTTACCAAGAAAGGCAGCGGGAACAGCGCCGGTTCCTCAAAGAGAGCCAGGGAAAGGTCAACACAGATGAAGAAGTAGGTGGCCACCTGCATGGCCCAGTGGTTATAGAAATAGTAAAGTCTGACAAGGAAAAGAATGAAGAAGTTATGAGCCAAGAGCAGGGGTTAAACAGCACCCCAAATCCCATTAGAAGTCCCGTCTCTGGCCACCGTTCCTTTAAATTCTAGGGAGTGAGGGGCAGCATTTAATTGAGCACATACTACAAAACGCTAACAGGAAAAAAATCAAGGATATTGTCATATTGCAAAGCACATTCTCTTAACGGTCTCAAGCTAGAATTAGTATCCTCCTCATGGGGGGATTGTGAACGTAAGATGTACTTTTAGAGGACTGACGCAGAGCAAACCCTCAGTTAGAGTGACCTACGATTCCGTGGCACGGGCGCCTGGTTGACAATGTGCATCACCCCATCTGGACACGGCGGACTCAGATGGATCTCTCGGTAACGAGGTTCTCTTTCGATTGCAGGAACTATGCCCCCAGGCTGCCTGAGAGCACCCAGAGATGAGGCATTTGCTGTTTTGGGAGGCACTGACAGACACTCAGCCCTGATGATAAGACGTTTTTTTTCTTATTCTGAGCTCATCTTTGGTTCAACCCTTAGGGGGGGCAAGAGAAACGGCTGGATTCACCTATCCTGAGTGTTACCCATTTACTCATTTCTCTGTCCTTAGTATGTTTGTTGAATGCATCTCTCCCTGTGAGGCACCATGCTCTTTTAACTAAAAAACAGAACACACAAAACAAAGAAACAGCATCGAATTTTATCCAACTCTATGTGTTATATGCTTCACAAAATATTTGTGGAAACATCTTCAGTTTGGGTTCAAGTGTGAGAATAGAAAGTGCTAAGGGACAGGTGATTCCAGGTTAGAGCTGAACACTTTAATTACCTGATGGCCTGAGGGGATGTTTCGAACGGAACATTTCTGTTGTACTGGGCGTCGGAAACGTAGGCTGCTGCCAGGAGGAGGTCCTGGTCCTCGTTGGGAGAAAGTAAGGGGACAAAAACAGTCAGAGCAGGAAAGGACACTGCGTTTTCGTGTATAAGTATGCATCAGACATGAAAGGAAGCTCCCCTTCACCTGTCCCCTGACCCACCCGCCTCGCCAGAGGCAACCAACATTAACAGCCCTGCATGTTCACGTCCAGAGGTTTTCCTGGGCAGTGGGAATCCTGCCGTGGGGCTGAGACACAGGCATGATAAACGTCCTTCAAATCAAACACAGGCTCTCAGAGGAGGAAATGAAAACAAGAAAGCGCTGAATAGTATCCATAGATGTACTTACATGGCATGTATATACATACCTGTATAGGGTTCTGTGCCTTTATATACACATACATAAACATCAAATGAGATTTAGGCTACTTGATGGATGCTTAGAGGGCTTTTCAAGGGTAATTTTGACAAGTAAATTATTGCCTTTTCCGATGACTTTTGAACCTAACTCCCTCTCAAGGTATGACCCCCCTCTATACGGATACATAATTTTTTTTAATTTAAATAATTTACTGAGGTGAAATTCACAATCTAGAAATTAACCACTTTAAAATGAACAATTCAGTGGCATTCAGTACATTCACGATGTTGGTATACACGCACATAAAATAATAAAATTGTTCTCACATGATACAAAGCTTATTTTTTCACTCCATATATTCTGGACTTGTTTTATGACTATATATAGAGCTACCCTACGATTTTTAATAAATGCTTCTTCCTTTAGGTAAGTTTCTTTTTAAATATATTTTGAACACAACTACATTTAGTATTTTTAAATATATATCACACACACGTGGCTTTGTACCATATGAGTGTGTTTGTAGCGTGGAGTGTAACTTGTGGATGGAAGATATGTCATTTTCTATTTTGGTAGGTACGACCAAATTGTCTCCCCCGAAGTTACACATTTTATATGCCTCAAAATGGTACACGAACATATGTGTTTTCCTGTTTCTCACTAACATTAGTATGATTTTAAATGGTTGACCATATCCAATCAACCAAAGAAGCATCTTGTGATTTTAGTTTAATTTGCCCACGATCAGCACAGCAGAGACCTGACAGTGATGACTCACACTTCTGATTCTGTATAAACAAGATAAACAAAAAAACTCCATCGAATTTTATCCAACTCTATGTGTTATATACCTCACAAAATATTTGTGAAAACAAGATAAAGAACATATACAAGCTAACAGACTATTTAGACCTCCCTGTGTACTTCAGCAAAAAAACAGCCTGATTATCCAAGTGATTACCTGGGTTTCTTCCTCAAAATTAAGGACATCTTCCAACTTGGATTGGAATCGAAATCTCTCACGGGTCAGGCAACTCAATTTTGAAAATGCATGAAAGTATTCAGAGAGATTCCAAATTTTCTATCTGACTTTCATATCAAGAATCCGTAGCAGATATTTGTAGATGGAATAGAACCGTGTTTCCTAAATTTATTTCGTATTGCAACACTTTTGAAAAATACTGCATTAAAAACGGAAATATTAGTTATTAAGTCTCTTAACTGACATTTCATCAGAGGAGATATAAGGATGGCAAATAAGCACATGAAACAATGCTCAACATCTTTATTCATTCGGGAAACGCAGATTTAAGCCACAGTGAGATACCACTACCTATCCACAAAATGGCTAAAACTAAAGACAGACCATATCAAGTGTTGCCAAGGATGTGGAACAACTGGAAATCATGTTGGTAAGAATGGAAAACAGTGCATTTACGTTGGAAAACAGTCTAGCGGTTTCTTGGACATTCCACTCCTAAGTATTCACCAAAGAGACAGAAGCATCAGCAAGGGTTGGTTTGTTTTGTTTTCTTTTGTTTTTTTAATGAACACACACTAATTTTAAGGAAGTCTCATTAAGCCTCAAAGAGATCGTACTGGGGCAGCAAAGAACAGTAACAAGGTCTTGAACAGTAGCAAGGTTTTTGGAAAAAAAAATATTTAAAGCAAAATCTCTTAGAGCCACTATTGTGCCCAATTTTAAAAGATGATGGTACAAACACCCTTCTAGTCCCAGTGAAACACGTTGTCCAGAAACATAAGCAGTTTGACCATCATGCATTTGAGGTGCATCACCCACATACCTTCCAGGAGGAAAATGGAAGGAAAAAGAAAAACACTCACAGCAAATCCTCAGCCAGCCAGGTCCCAGGGGTTACCTCCATCAGACCTCACGGGGACTCCGGCATTGAATGATAGGAGCATCAGGGCACCCCTTCCAATTGTCCCCTTGCCAGCTGAAATCTTGCCTGTCGCATTTACGTATGCGGACACGTTTGTAATAGCTGGTTTACCTTCGCATTAACGTTTCAAAGCTTTCCCATTCTTAACAGCTATCCCGTTTCTAACACCTTTCTCCGCCTGAAAATCTCGTCTCTTCTATTTTCTGGCTTTGCTTGTCTTCCCTCCCTCCATCCCATTTGTGCACAACTTCGAAGTCTCCTGCCCATTTTTGCTCGGGAAGACATACTCTTAACAGGCAGGCTTGCGGTAACGCGCATTCTCACTTGTATTAAGGCCATTTGTATCTTCCCACGAAATGAATTGTTTTCCTGCAACTCAAAAATGTGGCTTATGTTAGGCATGCCAATCCCAAACTGCACATACTTTTCAAGTTTACACGCGAACCACTGCCCATATCTACCATGCAAATAGCAGGCACCAATTAGCAAATACTCCCCCAGATGCAGCTAAGTGGCTTCGCACCTCAAAGCAGCAGCCCCAGCCTAGGGGAGGCCCTGGTGACTGCCGGGACAGCTCTCACAATCCCCTTCAGAGCTTTCGCTTTTAAAGATCCCATTGCCCAGACCAACTGCATCAGAATCTCTGGGAGGTGGGACCCAGTGTTGAATTTTTAAAGCTCCCAGGGGATTCCAATGGGCAGACAAGATTGAAAAACCACTGGTCTATATATGGCCATTTTTCTACCGTTTCTCTTGTTTTGTGTTTTCATGGTACTGTGACTATAAATGATTCTTTTGACTTTTCCTTCTCTCCTTTTCTTATACCTGTGACACTTCCTTTCCACTCCCCAAGACTTAAAAACGTATTTAAGATTTTTCTGTTTTCTCCTCCCACCCTCCCAACTTTGTCAGCCTTCCTTCTGAGAAGGCAAATAACTTAAACCCCTCAGGGCGAGAGGAAGGGGAATATGCAGGAGGGAGGGAAACAGATTCCAGAAGTTCTGGTGGACAGCCAGCAAGTGTAGGAATAAACAGCTCGCAGCTCCAGATGGCGTTAAGTTGGGCAACAGGAACCTTGACAAAACCAAAGCTGATGATGGCCGTGCTTTAAAAAAAGCGACTTTATCTTGTTTAGGTATATGAGAAAATTAACATAAGATAAAGAGAAGTTACCAAGAATTTCAAGTAAAATTCTTCCCATGTCAGTTTTTCCCTCTGTCACTACAAGCGCTGTACCTTCTGTCTGTCTGTCTGTCTTGGCCTCCCTTCTTTCCTCCCATAGGCTGTGGGCACTCTGATGTCCACAATGTAACAGATCATTGCTTTCCGCGCAGCCCCCATTCAGAAAGCTTCCAGCGACTCCTCTGTGCCTACAGTGCCCCCAGAATCAAATGTAAAACCCCCAGCTTAGCACTTAGGGGCCCCACCATCTCCCCCTCTGTCTTGTCTCCCTCACTTTCCCTATGGGAGCCCTCTTCTCTGGCCTACCCTGGGGGACCCACTGTCCACTGTCCCACCGCCAGCCCCACCCCCACGCCTGATTTCTTGCTTGCCTAAAACCAGGAATATCCTTTCCACTTCCCTTTATTTGGGCCCATCTCAAATTTCACTTTCTCTAGGAGGGCTGCCAGTACCAGCAGCTTCCACTTCCACGTGGGAAGACGGCCAAGTGCAGCTGGGGTGGGGAAGTACACGGTGAGGATCACATACAGAGAAACGGCTGCAGCCCAGGGTGGGCTGGGAGCGGCAGCCATGGCAGGAAGGGTGACCCAACTGGTGGCAGCCCCATGTGAGTATAAACACCTCGTGGCCCGCTGCGCAGACAACGACAACCTGCAGGCTGAGGGCAGCCTGAAGATGTGTTTTGATTGGCCCAGAGAGTGCTTTACAGATGCTGGCAACTAATTCACTTTTTTTTTTTAAACTGGAGCTGACACAAAAATTTGAACTTCTGGTTTCTCTTCAAAAGATCATAACATCTGGCCACGCTGGGTGGTATTTCGGTAAGTTTTTGCAACCCACCCTGAAACTCGGTCACTTGAACAAATCCTTATTATTTCCCCAAATTCTGTGGGTCAGCCGGGCAGTCTTTCTGGTCTGGGCCAGCTTAGCCAGTCTCCATGGTCATCTGGGGCTAGACGGTCCCCAACAGCTGCACCCACAGGTCATGGCTGTGTGCCTCAGGCAGCAGGCGAGCCAGGGCTCTCTTACAAGGTCACAGGGCTCCCAGGAGCATCAGGAGAGCAAGTACCAATGCTGAAGCAATTCTCGTGCCTCTGCTCGGATCACGTCTGCTGATGTCCCATTGGCCAGAGCAAGTTTCATGGTCAATGGTCTCAAGAGGTGGAGAAACCAACTCCACCTCCCACTGTAAGGAGTTGCAAAGCCTCACTGCAACGGGAGACTGTATCTAGGTTGAGGAGAGTTCGCAGCCATTGTTTGCAATCTACGATAGCCCATGTGGCACCACCAGCTGCGGGTGGGTGGCTGCAGGTCATGGTCTTCGTGCAGGGGATGTGTCCTCCAGGTCACCATGAGCCCCAGTACCCTCCCCAGCTGAACCATTCCCACCTAGGCTGCTGCTTTTACGTTGCTCCCTGGCACCTGTGGGCATTTCAGCTTGTGACTCCCTGACCTAACTTACACTCTCCCAAGCCCTCCTGGTCACTGCCATTTCCTCCTGCGAAGAACATCTCTGAAAATCGCTCTAAAGGGACGTGAGGGGACCAAAAGCCTAAAAACAGCATGATCCACGAGTTGGATGAACAGATTTAAGAATAAGAACATTCAGAAAGAAGCACAGAAAGTATCAAGAGGTGATCACATAGAGTCACAGAGAAACAGCACAGGACGGGAGCTCTCCGCCTTAGCTGCACTTTCAATCGTTAGTAGCTTTAAAGTTACTGTTGCCCAGACCACACCCAGACCAATTAAATCAGGATCTCAGGGTGGAGCCTGAACCCAGATACAGTTTAAAAGCTCCCCAGGCAATTTTGACCAATGGCAAGACTGAGAATCACTGACCTCAGGTTATTTCTATTTCAAAGCTGAAAGTATTGGTAAAAGTACCAGAACTTGTCATCTTAGTCGCAGCCAAAAGAAACTTCAGGCAGAAAAGGGCTCTAAAAGACTACTTGAAAGGAGAAGGTGCAAATGCATTTCAGCTGACTAGGCAGTTTCTTATTAAGTGACCCAAAACTAACTTTTAAATAGGTTAACTGGGTTATATTGGCCGGCAAGCATCTGCGATCAGTGCTTCAGTTTAATGACTCAACCACTGCTGTTATCTCAGAAAATGGGGTTTTGCTGAGAACTACCTGTTGGTACCAGGCTCCTCACCTGTTATGCCTGCTCCCCTGGGGGACGTCTTTGAAAGACATTGAGAAGCAGATAAATAGCTGACCCCTGCAGCATGCATTAAGCCAAAGTCTCACACAGGACTCAGCCAGGACTGCTCTTGCATTTCTTGAAGTCTCAAATTACTAGTTTTTTTACACTCTTCTCTTATTTAGACAAAGAAGCATTAAGTACAGAGAGGAAGCCATGGACAGATTCAAGCTAAAAAAGATTTTCTTGCCACAGAAAAGATTTCTCTGGTGATCACAGCCCCATCTTTGCAGAATGAGAGGAGCAAAGCCTGGGCTGGGTCGGAGCTGGGGACCAAGAATCTGTCCCCTCCTTTTTCTCCTTGACCTGCTCCCTTAAAGGAGAGCGGACATGGTAGAATCCACCTGTTGCAAGTCACCAAGTCCCCCTGGGAGACCAGGAGGCCGAGAGGGAGCGATGAACCAGGCAGGGCTTTTAAACCCCGCACACAAGCCCGCCCTGTGGACAGTCTTGAGCAGACACGAGAAGAGGCAGGGGCCATAGCACACAGCAGCCCCGAGCTGAAGGGGCCAGCTGAGGAGAGGAAGGCAGGGCTAAAACACCTTCACCTCCCACACACTTGCACAACCAAAGGAAACGTAGCCCAGATGAGTGGACCCCTGGGAGGCCTGAAGCCTGGGGGTCATTAGGCTTGCCAGGCGCTGTACCCCGGGCTTGACCAACAAGATGGGTCTTCCTGACTCCTCCGAGATGGGTGTGATTGATCATCTCCGCCTCACAGAGGTGGAAACCAGAGGCTTCCAGCATCTTGTAATTCATAGCTAAAATTTCCTGAATCAGAGCCAGGTCTCTTTCCATTGGAGCCCCGCCTGCCTCTCTACTCTCTGAGCTCTTGTCCAGCGAAAGGAAAGAGCCCAAGAAGGATTCTTGAAAGCTCCAAGTCTTCCAAAGCTTAGGCTGTCGGAGAGAAAGCAGAGCTGAGCGACCGCGCAGACAGGGCCCGCGGGGATCAGAAGAGCCAGGGCTACATCAGCACTCCCAGACCCACACCCTGCAACCGTCTTCCCGGGCGTTTCCCTGCCACAGGACCCTCGCTCGTTTTCCCACTGGCCACTCAGACCCCGGGGGCGCGCCGTGTGGGGACTGCACCGCCAACACTGAGCCCCGGAGCCCGACCCCAGTTTGGCGCCCGCAGGGGGAGGCGACTCCGGGGAGGTCTCGGGGTGCGGGCTTGACAGCTCCCGTAACGACCAGAAAGTGCGGGGCTGCGTCCTGGAGCGGGGCGCTTCTGCGCTCCAGCGACTGTGTCTCCTGCACCCGGAGCACCAGGACCAAA